ATGCATATTTTAAGAACGCCGGCTTATTAACGAACCTCTTTCATTTAATTACTTTTATATCTCCCTGGAATATAAAACGATCTCTGTCCACAACATAACTTGTGTGGTAAATTGAGTTCCTTTATAGTCAAATTGCACTGTATATAAATTTGAATATTTTGCAACAATGGAAAGAATATTTTATATGAATCCTATGCTGGTATTGAAAGAGAAAAACACGCCTCTATTAACTAGTGGGTATACTTTAAAACGAATTGCAGAAATACAGCATATATTTAAAAAAGGATTATAGGTAAAAGTGGTTCTGCACCAAACTGTAGTGAAAGTTTTTTTTTCTTCTATACATCCTGGTCATAATATTATATGTAACGTCAAAATTAAACTCACTTTGACCCTTTGAATTTTATCTACATTATGGTTACGAGACTCTTGCTCTTTGAACCAGATATTCACAAGAAGTTTTCTCGAGTTAGATTGACGGTACGGTGTTTCGTCTCGATATGGCAATTTACCTTGTATTGACTTATGGATAAATAGCTTATTGAGTTACAGATCTTCTTGAGATGCCCAAATCACCCACCCACCCAATCCCAATTCACTAAAGTTATTTGTGCAGTAGCAATCTAGAAATATAATCTGTTTCCAATCAGTTAAATTCTTTTGTCATATTTTTTAAAAGCAAATTCAATTGTTTATTTATCAAATTACAAAAATGACATTTTTTGGAAAAGAAGATGTTCAAAATGTGTTTTGCTATAGCGCACTAAATGATTTGACATTTTGCCCTCTATTTCAAGCAATCTTACTTTTTGCTCAGACAGGAGCTCCATTGGTTTGCAGACTTTCGGAGACAAAGATCTCGGTTTAGAAGGGATTTTGACAATTTTAAGCAAAAATATCTCAGATTTAATGTATTTACAACAGTTTATAACTACCATAATTGTGCTGAAATAAGTTATATGGATAATCTGAACGCATCATATTTTACCCTAATTCACTTCTGATCTCATGAGAATACAGAGCCGCGTATCCACCTTTCGAGAAATGTCAATAGGTCTATATTTTTTACTGTTAAGCATTATACACATCCGTAATGTACACTTCGTTAAATATATTCTAAAATTCTTACCATTTAATTGAGATCATTATTATTAGTTAAGAAGGAAAGTCACATTTATGTTCCGATAATTGATTTGTATGCAACAGTATGATGTTTACCAACATTAATCCCTCCAAATCACCCATTCGTATCCTACCTATGGTCGAATTGAATCAACACGCCCTAGAGCAACAAACTGAATTTTACGTAACAGTAAGATGTTTGCCTACACTAATCCCTCCAAATCGTATCCAACCGATTGTCGGATTGAATCAACACGCCCTATAGCAACCAATTGAATTTTATGTAACAGTATCATGTTTACCAACACTAATTCCTCCAAATCAAAATTTCGTATCCAAGCTATAGTCCGATTGAATCGACACGCCCTAGAGCAACAAATTGAATTTTATGTTACGATATGATGTTTGCCTACACTAATCCCTCCAAATCACCCATTCGTATCCAACCAATTGTCGGATTGAATCAACACGCCCTATAGCATCCAATTGAATTTTATGTAACAGTATGATGTTTACCAACACTAATTCCTCCAAATCAAACATTCGTATCCAAGCTATAGTGGGATTGAATCAACACGCCTTATCTCAACAAATTGAAATGTATGTAACAGTAGGATGTTTACCTACAATAATCCCTCTAAATCACCCATTCGTATCCAACGGATGTTCAGATTGAATCAACACGCCCTATAGAAACACATTGAATTGTATGTAACATTAAGATGTTTACCAACATTAATTCCTCCAAATCACCCATTCATATCCAACCTATGGTAGGATTGAATTAACAAGCTCTATAGCAACAAATTTAACTTTATTTAACGGTACGATGTTTACCTACACTAATCCCTATAAATCATCCATTCGTATCCAACTTATGGTCCGATTGAATCAACAGGCCCTATAAGAACCATGATTACATTTATATACCTGGTCAACGACTGATCGAAAAGGATTTTAATCAAGTAAATTAGCTTTAGAATTGGGTGTTTTTGTCAACGTTTTGGAAGCTTTAATTTATTAGTTTCTCTTATATTTACCCTGAATAGGATTTGCCAAGAATGAAATAGAGGTACAGTCTGTTTTAAATATTTCACTCTCAGGCAACAGAACTGATACAGTTTCTATGAGTTGTTGATATGGGGTTTGTACTGTACTCGTTTGATTCTACCCTAATTGCAGTCTTGTGATAGGGTACAAGACCAATCACTAAACTAGTCATGAACTATCCTTCTCATCAGCTGATGTTATCTTAAATATTAGCTCACGATGGTAACCAAACGATGTCCGTGGGACAGTGTCATTTTACTTATCTTGATAGAAATGCACATAATGTGATTGGAGTGACAGTTTTTCCTTTAACAAAAACTTTAAGGAACAAAGAGATGCAAACTCTGGCGCAATTCTAGTAACTTGAATGTCTTTATCTGTGTTTATCCAGAAGCATGTTAGTCACATACAAATAATCCTAAGTCAAAGGTCATTTGTCTCTTATTCAAAGCACTGTGGAACTTGACTTATTTTCAGTTGGTACTTATCATTCCGCCACCCACCAGTAATAAAGCAAACACCCCTGATATATGTAGTGGAAGATTGACAATGGTATTTCAAAGCATGACAAGTCAAAACACGGCCCTTTGTTACCATATAAATGTTCTCATATACCACTTAAATATTATACTTAATGTCAGACATTCATCTATGCATGATATTTATGCTTTTTAGTTTATTTAAACTATACCAAAGCTATGCTTCTCTTATTATTTCTTCAAATTAATATCCCCTTATACTTGCACAAAGTGTCTTTCTCTGCTACTCTGAAAGTAATGTTACCATAAATCGTCTGTAGTGTCACTTTAAAAAGATAGAAGCATTAAGGTATCCTAAAGCGGTGTTTTGTTACATGTTTTAACATATCTTATACCCGATGCATATTTCGGATAATGAATCTAGTGGATGGGATAATATTTCTACATAATATAGCTTTACACTCCATAACAAGTTCAAAAAGCCGATGTTATTTAATAGAGATAGTGAGTAGATAATACACTTAAGCTAATATTAAACAAGCTTTAACCTTTCATTCTCACTTCAATATAATTTATTATTTGCACACCTTTGCTGCGACAATACATAAATGCCACTTTCTTGTTTTTATGACATGCACTACCTCCCAAACAGGACTTTTTAGTGGCATGGTGTCATATTCGCAAATTGCAGATGTATTAAAAGCGAATTAATCACATTTAAGAATGTAAGTATGTTAGGATTTCACTTCTGAAGAGACATGCTCGCACATAATAATGACAATCAAGTATATATATATATATATATATATATATATATATATATATATATATATATATATATATATATATATATATATATATATATATATATATATATATATATATATATATATATATATATACACAAACAGGATGATCTGCCTCAAAAACATGTAATGCAGATTTCTTTCTTTGTTTAACAGATTTATTAATTCCAGATTGTCAGTCAGTTTCAATCACGATACAACAGGATCATAAAGCATTCGTTAGCAAATTACAAGAGATAAATACTCTAGTCTTCCTTGAAGGAGATTCATTAAACAAGAAATGAAGTTATTTACATGTTAGGCTAATATATTGGTCCCCATGACAATTTTGATATTATGATGGTCGTTAATGGCGACAAATAAGGGTATATAAAATTGACTCTGGGAAGACAGGATGACACAATGTTTTGGGCGTTTTCACACATGTACGCTTACAGCACTTTATGATAAATAAAGGTGTTTTGTTTTTTATTTTGTCTTCGGATTTGAGTGGAGAAAGAAAGTTACTACTTGCTCTAAGCGAAATTTGTTTCCAAGATCCCTCGATCAAATGGCAACGTCAGTAAATCCGCCATTTAAGATTTCTATTTCAGCAGGCAGCCAATCAAATTTAGCGTTTTTGGTAAAGTCTAGCAACAGAAGTGGTTTAGCGAAGTACCCGATTTATAGTAGCCATAGTAAGTTCTGACATGGCAGTCGATTATACGTTCTTACCGTATTTCTGGATTACATTATATACAAAATAGCTTCAAAGATAATTTGAAATAAAGGAGAAGCAAATTGACTACTTGGAGGAACTTTTAAAACAAAACAGGTAATTGCCTAACTACCACTAATTACCCTTATACTATTTCTAAGACGTCAATGTCAAGGTTATGTACAAAAAGCAATACATATGTCGGGTCAAACAAACCTCAGTCTGAGTTTATTACGGATAATTATGAATCATTCTTTCTGAATAGTTTTATATCTCGTATTAGAGATTCGGATAATTCAATACCTATTACATTTTTTAGGGACAAAGGAGCTTCACGGAGTATATAGTTATCAGGTACTTCTAACGAAAATGTTCTCTTTTTTAATAGAGTGGGATTTAGTTAATGTTCCTCTCAGATGTGTAACTTTGTCATCAGACTGAGTCTCAGGACCGGGGACAGTCAGAGTTTTGAAGTTTTTCACAATCGAGGGTATTTATTTATTACTAGGCAATTGTCTGGGTGTGTATGTATGTATGTATGTATGTATGTATGTATGTATGTATGTATGTATGTATGTATGTATGTATGTATGTATGTATGTATGTATGTATGTATGTATGTATGTATGTATGTATTTTAAAGTAGCTTTAAAAAATTTTCACTCATTTCCCTTCTATGGTCTATAGTAATGTCTTGCACAGGGGCATCATGCCTCAGATATGTAGTATCATGTCCCACTCAGTCACATTATCCTGAAACCAGATCGACCAGACCTAACACTTGCCTCTTAATGCTGAGCGCCTAGAGAGGAAGCTGTTAGTACCATTTTTATTAGTATTTTCGTATGACTCAGCTGGGGTTTGAACCCGCGACCTCCAGCATCTTAGGCGGACTCTCTAACCACTAAGCTATCGGAACGGTCTACCTTGCGTGAGATAAGGTTCTGTTTAATCCACTAGCAAATACAAATATTGATCCTATTGAAATTGAAATCCCTGACATACACCCAGCTTGTGCAATTACTAGAGCTGTGGGGGAAATGTTCTCGAGAAAGATGCTGATCAGGAAATTATTCCTTTAGTTGATATATTTATTGGTCAGTCTGGTATGGATCAGTCAAATGGTATTGATCTAGATGTTCCTCTCTCTAACATTTTATTCTAATCACGGTGCTAAGCAGCAGTTTGTTGTACTTTAACGTCAAGAAGATCCTGAGATACCCTGTTTGTTTCAGAGTGTTGTTAGCAACACTCAAGTCAAACAAGTGCCTGTATGTTCTTTTGCGAAAGGTGGAGAACTTATGAAAATGGAGACAACCTGAGGTACCCAAAGGTGATGATTGGTCGGTGAACTAATACATTGCTGTTCATAAATCGTATAGAAAGGAAATTTCTTTGTCCAGATCATGATACTCTTTTGACTGGAAATCTAAGGGACGTTATTGCTTGTCACATCTTTCACATATCCAGCCACAAGAAAAACGTGTACTAAATGTGGTTGAATGTGAGCATTTGTTTCTAGATGAATATCCACGAAGAAATAGAATCTATCATGACGTTGAAAATTGTAGATTCCACATTAGTGGAACAGTGTACTTACAGGATAAACTTTCTCAAAAAGGAATCAAGTAAATGTAATTAGAGTTCGCTGTGTATTATCCTGACAAAATCAAATAATAGTTTCCGCATGTACACAGACTATAGTAAAGTAAATAATGTTACCAAAAGAGATTATATTCGTTGTCAAGATTTTATCAAGGTGTTGACAAAATTGCAAATGTAAAATATGCCATCAATTTGGACCTATTAAATGGATTATTTCAACTTTCAATGTCGAAAAGGGCAAATGAACTTTCGGCTTTCATAACTCCACGTTAATATTATCATTATAAAATAATGCAGTTTTAGATGAGAGTTTCACCTGGTACTTTCCAGCGTTTAATTAGGATGATAAAATTATTTTAGGGACACGTTAAAATAATAATAATAATAATAATAATAATAATAATAATAATAATAATAATAATAATAATAATAATAATAATAATAATGACTTTTATAGCGCCTAATCTTTAGAATCTCAAAGTGCTTTAAAACATTTGACAACTCTTATAAAGAATAAAAACGTCTTTAATGATATGATTACACAAATAAAAACAAATACCACAATATTAGAAACAGAAAAATTTGCTGAAGATATTTATGGTAAGGATACGTTATAAGGATACATTATTAGTTCTTCTTGACTGTTTTTGTAATTGAAATAGATGAATTTAAAGAGCGCTCTTGAATGAGATCACTGTTTTTTTGTGTCTAAGTGCGATGGGCAATTTGCTCCACGTTACTGTGCCTTTGTATACAAAAGAACTTTGTCCATATGATTTCAACTTTATAGTGGCAATAATGAGAACACTAGTGCCAGAAGAGGAGCGTAAGCATTTTACAGCTGTATACACATGGGTGAGATCAGATATGCATGTTGGACTGGAAACAAATTTTGTGTTTAATTCTGGATCGTATGGATAGCCAGTATAAAGTACAAAACAGCGGAGAGGAGTGCTTTGATCGTGGTACTCTAAGGATGATCCGAGCGGCAGTGTTTCGAACGTTTTAAAATTTTTGAAGTAGATATTGAGATGAACCAGACAAACTTGAGCGACAATAGTCTAGTCTTGAAATTACTAAGGAATACAAAAGTGTTTTAGTAGCGTCAACTGACAGGTACTTGCGAATGAAGCTGATGTGTCTCAGCTCAAGATATGCAGCCTTGCATATGTTCATGACATGTTGATGCAATGAGAGAGTACTGTCAAACGTGACACCGAGATTTCCTATTGACTGCTTCAATTTAGTGTTAGTGTTGCAGACATTTATTGTCTGAGGTAAAAGTATGTAAATGAGAAATTTTTTTTGTGTTGTAACAAGAAGGGCGGCAGTTGTATCATCATTCATCTGCAACTTGTTACATGTCATCCATTATTTCACATCAGAGATGCACCTCTCTACGCCTTGTATGGTAGCTTCAACTTCAGCTGGGTGTCAACAGCATACAACTGGTGAGACACTGGATGATGATCTATGACACTTGCGACTGGCTGAATGTATATAATGAACAGAACTGATCCAAGAACAGACCCCTAAGGAGAACCACAGCATAGATAAACTGTGTTGGAGAGTTTTCCATTTGCGGATACAATTTATGTCTTGTTGACCAAGTATAACTTGAGCCATAGTAAGGCTTAATCTTGAGACATGCTAGAGACAGTGAAGTAATATATCATGGTCTAGTGGGTCAAATGTTGTAGACAAGTCAAGAAGAGTGAGGACTGTAATCTTGCCTCTATCCAAAGTCAAGAGAAGGTCATTGACTAATTTTAGAAGAGCAGTTTCAGTACAGTGGCAAGGGCGATGTGCAGACTACATCGCTTAAAAGTATGTTAGAATTCAGATGTGATACAAGTTGGGATATAATAACTTTTTTAAGATTTTGACATGAATGGTATATTAGAAACTAGGTGTTGGTTCTTTAGATCATTATGGTCGAGTGTTGGTTTTTAGCGGAGGCTTTATAATGGCAGTTTTGTAAAATGATATAAATTCCCCAGATGAGAGAGACTTATTAATAACATCAGTTAGTACTAGAAGGCAATATTGGATCCAAGCACTCTATCAGCAGTGACGTCGGAATCGGATCCAGATCACATGAATTTGGTGCACTCTTGATTACGATTGTACGTACTAAATCACGATTGAGACAGGTTCAAATGCTGCTAATGGTTGCGACTGAAATTCTGTATTGCAACTGTATGGTGATGACGAGTCAACTTAAATTGTGTTGTCAACTTTATCCTTGATGGTTTGTACTTTGTCACAGAAGAAATTTGCAAACAGGTCCGAAAGATCAACTATTGAGAAGGTAGCTGGCAGTGGTGTACATTTGTTCCATGATAGTAGCTTGTTAAGAATCTCAAATAGCTCTTTTCAGCTGGAACTTTCCGTGATCTTTACACTTTATTGGGCTGATTTCGCTGCATAGACTATGTTTGTGACTTTCTTCATGCGTCATCATAAATTTGTTTATTAATAGTGAGTCTTGTGGAAAGAAATATTCTCTCAGCTTTACGGATGTCTCTTCTACCTGTGCGAGACTGGCCCCTAACACTGCTATACCACGGAGAACACTTCTGAATTGCTACTTTTCACTTGGTTGCTCGGTCGAATTTGTCGATGAAAGAACGCAGGCAGTTATCTAGTTGTTCTGCTGTAGTAGGTAAGCTCGTTGTTAGGTTTGCTTGGATATCATGCATTCATTTGCTTCTGTTTATCATATGGAGGTTTTTCTTAGTAGCGAATAAAGGTGGAGGATAATGAGTGATAGGTCAAGATGACATAATGAAGAGGTGATCTGATGAAAGTTCGTGGGACGCACGGGAAGGATGCAAAACTATTATCGTGTCTGTAAACAATCCAATCTAAAACGTGACAATTTATGGGTGGGTTGTATAACTGAATGTTTGAAGCTGAACATGTGAATGGAACCTAGGAATGTCGATATGCATGAGTTCTCTGGACAGTCAAAGTGACAGTTGAAATCTACAAGAATAATTAGGTTGCCACGTATCAAATTTCCATACTTCACGAGATTCTGAAACTGCTCCAAAAGGAGAGATTCTGTCAACTTGTTTTTTTTCTACTAGGAGGAGAGCGGTAGAGGTAGAAAAAATGGACTGACCTTTGTTCCAGTGTGAGTGTAATTTGGACTAGTTCAAACGATGTTGAAAGTTGAAGTTTAGTTAAGACGGTTGATCATTGCGATGACAGCAATTCCACCACCTCGGGAGAGGCGGGGTAACGACTTGATGGAGTAACCGATGGGTGTTAGATCTGCGCACTTGGGTTCGTCGTCTGATGTTTTTAGCCATGTTCGTGTCAGGAATAAGATGTCGATATTCTGATCGTTTGTAAAATTAACTATTTATGTGCGATTTCCGATGGTTCTTCTGATTGAGCATCGAATATTGCAACCCGCAGTTGTATCTCTTCAATAATTAACATAAAGGCTGACGATTCAATTGAAATTTGAATTAGGTTGTCTAAATTAACAGCCGAATTTCTGTGCCGGAAAGGGCGAAAGGGAAATAACTGGAATTCTTCTTCCTGTTCTACGCCACCAGCTTTGAAACAACGCTTTTTTCACTTTCCTTTACAATTATGGAATGATGAAACTAGTCCCAGGTTGTTTAGTCTAGTGTAAAATGTAGTGTGGAGAGGCAAAGAGTGTTCATTTAACCAATTAAGGAGGAGCCATCATAGCAAAAATGGGTGGATTGGCAAGTAACACGTGATGGCTGCTTATTCGATAACAAAGGAAGCTGCAACAATGGAACGAGACAGCTGAGAAAAAGTCTAATTTTTCTTGTTTCCAATACAAGAAGATGACGAAACACGTTCAAATAGGACAGTCAGTGGATGATAAACAAAATAACGCAGACGAAGACAGACAATAAGCACATAGATCATGAAAACGGTACATAAATTTGGACAGCTGCCTCGAGCCGGTTAAACGATAGCGGCCATCTTGAAAGAAGACTCTTTGTAACTTGTACATGGTTGATATCAGCAGTTACAACGACACCTGAGTATATTCTATGGAAACAATTCGAAATTTCTTTAGACACTTTAATGCAAGGTTGACCATTAATTTATATAAAATTGATTTTTGCCGTGCTTGTGTTGCATTTATAGGACACAGACAAGTTATACCTACATAAGTTAAGGTCAATGCTATCTCTGAATTCCCTGTGCCTCTCAGTAAAAGGCAGCTAATGTGGTTTGGGATATGGCTGGACAATATCAGAAATTTTGCTCCAATTTCATTTGCATAATTATTGAGTCCGTGACCAATGTTTTGAGTAGAAAGACC